CAGTGTAACTCCCAGGCATTCTGTGAGCGCCTGGAAAGGAAGAACAAGATCTTATTCCTGCATCCTTAGAGACCAGCAAAGTTTCATTTACATTGTAAACGCTGGATACCCGTTTGTGGTTCTCTTGAGTCATACGAACGCTATTAATTCTCTTAATGTTTCCATCACTAGCTCCAGTCATCTTCTTCTTTTATACCTCTCCCCTCCCCCTACCCCCGTTCATTCCTCTTATTTTTTTCACTGAGATCTGCATTGGCTATCTCTGGAATAATTCAAATACCTCTAACTTGAATATAGATATTTTCATAGACCGTTCAACAGGGTGACAGTATGTTGAGGTGTGGGACTTTTCTTTTAAAATAATGCAATATCCTACTGGTAAAAGAACTGTAAAATGTGCCATCAGGTCCAAATATCTTACTTTACAGGTGAGAGAACTGAGACTTAATAGAACCTAAATGGTTGACATCACATGGTCAATCTCTCCAGTATGAAGCCTTCCTCAATTCTTTGTTTTTAACTCATTTAAAAACCCACTAAAGTAAAATTAGGAGCTCTGGTAGCATAGTGCCTAAGGCACATGACTGCTAACCAGAAGGCTGGTGGTTCAAACCCACCAGCCACTCCTCGGAAGGAAGTTGGGCAATCCTACTTCCGTAGTGATACTGCCTCGGAAACCCAAGGAGGGGTCGCTATGAGTCGGGGCCGACTGGATGGCACATAACAACAACAACAACATGCAAAGATGCTTCAACATCAGAAAAACAATCAATGTAATCTGCCACATAAACAAAACAAAAGAACCACAAGATCATATCAATCAATGCAGAAAAGGCATTTGATAAAATCTAACACCCATTCCTATTCAGAACTCTGAGCAAAATAGGGACAGAAGGGAAATTCCTCAACATAATAAATGGCATATATGAAAAGCCAATGGCCAACATTATTGTTAACAGAGAAAGAATCAAAGCATTTTGCTTATGAACAGGAACCAGAAGAGGATGCCGTCTATCACCACTTCTATTTAACATTGTGTTGGAAGTCCCGTTGTTGTTATTATGTGCCGTCAAATTGGACCCGACTCATAGTGATCCCTCCTTGGGTTTCCGAGGTAGTATCACTATGGAAGTAGATTGCCCAACCTTCCTTCCAAGGAGTGGCTGGTGGGTTTGAACCGCTAGCCTTCTGGTTAGCAGTCAAGTGCCTGAGACACTATTGGAAGTCCTAGCTAGGTGATAAGGCAAGAAAGAGAAATAAAAGGTGTCCAAATTGGCAAAGAGGTACTAAAACTATCTCTATTTGTGGATGACATGATCCTATACATAGAAAACCCAAGAGACAGCAAAAAAACTACTGAAACTAATAGAGAGGTTCAGCAAAGTGGCAGGATAAAGGGTCAAGATACAAAAATCAGCTGGATTCCTCTACATCAACAAAGAGACCTCTGAATAGGAAATAAAGAAAACAATACCATTTACAATAGCTACCAAAAAGATAAAATATCTAGGAATAAATCTTACCAGGGACACAAAAGACCTATACAAAGAAAACTATAAAACACTACTACAAGAAACTACAAGGGATTTACATGAATGGAAGAACCTGCCTTGTTCATGGATAAGAAGACTGAATACTGTGAAAATGTCAATACTACCGAAAGCAATCTACACATTTAATGCAATCCTGATCCAGGTACCATCAACATTTTTCAAGGATATGGAAAAACCAATGATTAACTTCATATGGAAAGGAAAGAGACCTTGGATAAGCAAAGCACTACTGAAGAAGAAAAACAAGGTGGGAGGTCTTAGACTCTCGGATCTCAAAACCTACTATACAGCCACAGTAGTTAAAATAGCATGGTATTTGTACAATGATAAACAGATAGATCAATGAAACAGAATTGAAAACCCAGAAACAGACTCATCATCCATCTATGGACAGCTGATTTTTGACAAAGGACCAAAACCCATTAAATGGGGGAAGAGATAGCCACTTTAACAAACAGCGCTAGCAAAATTGGATTATTCACCTGCAGAAAATGAAACAAGACCCATACCTCATCCCCATCCACTAAAACAAACTCAAGTTGAATCAAAGACT